TTTGGAGCATCACTTGGGGTCCTTCTCATCTTATTTTCAAGTGGAACTGACTGGTTTTATATAGTACTTCTGTTGCATATTTTCTATTTTGGGATTCTGGCCTGCTTCATTGTAGTGTTAGTTTCTGAATCACAGTAGCTAAACTATTGAGTGTACATGTATTGACTCTTGTGATTTTGGAAGACAGCAAATAAAGTACCTGCTTTGCGTGGAGAACCTGAAAGACAAGGTGTTTCCTATTATTGTTTTGGTATTAGCCTTTTTAATACAACATTGTGGTCCACCAGAAGAACAACCCTGAGCCAATGAGCCTCAGCTAACCCTAACTCAAATAAAGCTACCACATAATGTCTCTCCCTATCCAGAGTTAACACCGAGTCTTAGTGGGCTCATTTGTTCAAATGAAGGGATGTGGCCTCATGATTATTAAAGCCGTTTTTAGCACTTATGGACTACCTTTCTCAGCTTTCCTGGTTCATTTGTCTTGAGCACCTCTTAGAAGCATTGCAAGCTTTAATTTTATTCCACCTATAGACATTGCTTTGTTCACCTTTGGTTATATTTTTAGAACAGGATTTAATATTTGGAGGGGAGATATAATTCTTTCAGAGGAATATTTTTGTTTGTTTTTCTGTAAACTGAGTTAATGTGATACAATTAGATGCTTCCTTTATGGCTGTATAGGTAAAATCATATGAGAGTAAATGTAGCCTTTTAAAGTAAATGTGATTAAGACATGCATATACGTATTCAACAGTTACAGTGGCAAGCATGGGATGGGAATGGTGACTTGCTTTGCTCTCCACCTACCCCTTGTCTGCACTCAGACAGCTGTCCAGGCTGGAGGAAAATGGAAAATAATGCTGATAGGTCTCACTTTAAATTCATGATCGCCAACTACAAAGGGGCCAGTAGTGCTGTCCAGCATTCCTTCCATGCTACCTATTGTCTTGCTTTTTTATATGAATATTTTGCACTTTCTCCTCTCCTCTCAACCATTAATAGCTCCTTTCCTTTCTCCCCCATCCCAATGCTGATGAGAGAATAAAAATCAACCAGAAGGAAATGTCTAACCTTTCTCCCTACCTGGTCTACTAACGTACCTATATCTGTACCCAGGTACTCTGCTGGACTTCAGTTATTAATATACCCTGTTATTATCTGAGGCCAATCCTCACTTATTGAATTCATATCCCGCCTTGCCTACTTATGGCCATCTCGAGCAGTCGTCCCTTCTCTCTTCTGTATTGTTAATGATTCCTCTTCCTTCTTTATTACCAGATCATTCCTATCAGCATACTCACATGTTGAAATAGCTCCCATCTTTAAAAGGAAAAAAAAAACTTCCTGGAGACCCCATAGTTCCCTAAAAATATTGCCCCATTTCTCCTTTCCTCTTGGCAGCAGAACTCTTCAAGAGTTGTCTACTCTAGCTTTCTTTCCATTCTTTCTTGAAATTTCTCCATTAAGACTTTCAGCCCCACCTCTCTGCCAAAACAGCTCTGATCAAGGTCACCCATGATCTTTTCAAAGGCATATCACTGATCAATTCTAACTTGCTGTGATTAGCAGTACTTGACATGGTCACACTTTCTTAACACTTTCTTTCCTTGGATTCCGAGAC